AATTTGTCAAACCAAAGACAGCAAGCTCAAAAAGCCTCATTTGCAAAATACTGATGCATAATCTAGATGTCTATCAATTAACAATGAGAAATAAAATTTTTAAAGGACCATACTGCCTAGGCGGTGAAAATCTGTATGGGAAGCCACATAAAACATTGAAAAGTGTTTTTAGTAGGCCTGCAATCATAGCAGGAAGATCTGGTTAGATGAATGATTCCTAAATATTAGTTCTTTGCCTGCAACTAGACTAGCTGTATAAGAATCAACTGATCAATTTGTTAAAAATACTAATTTCAGTCAGGTGTGGTAGTTCATGCCTACAATCCCAGCACTTTGGGAGGCCGAGGAGAGAGGATGTCTGAGCCCAAGTGTTCGAGACCAGCCTGGGCAACTTGGCAAGATGTCATCTCTACAATAAATTTTTTAAAATTAGCCTGGCGTGGTGGTGGTGGCACATGAGGAGTGGTAACTCCAGTCATTAAGACTTTGTAACAGTGGCTCTCAAACCTGACTGGGTATCAGAATCACCCAGGGCACTTGTTAAAAATACAGAACTCTTGGCCCCTGCTAGAGATTCTGATTCTGCAAAGTCTGAGGTGGGATCTAGAAATTAGTATTTTTATTTTTAAATTTTATTTTTAAGTTTTATTTTTATTTATTTATTTATTTTTGAGTCAGAGTCTCACTCTGTTGCCCAACCAGCGTGCAGTGGCACAGTTACAGCTATTGCAGGCTCAACCTGCTGGGCTCAGGTGATCTTTCTACCTCAACCTTCCAAGTAGCTGGAACTATAGGTGCCACCACCACCACGCAGGATCTGGCTTACAGGCAGATCAACACGTGTCCAGCAGCAGGATTACAGATACACTGCCAGTTCTTGTTGTGACTTTTTTCCTATGCTCCAACTAGACTACCCCATCCTCAATCCTTTTCTAAACCTCTGAGAGCAGACAGGGCAGATAAAATACAATTGACTAAATTCCCTTTTCTGAGTTAAAAACAGCCTTTCTGTTATGTTTATGAGACTGTCTCTAGTTACTGTAGCCGGACCTGCTTTTGCCCAAATTGCCTAAATCCACATTTACAGCAATCTTTTGTGACAGCAATATCACTTAATTCTTTGAATATATCTGCCAAAAACCACATTGTGATTTGTTGTAAAGATTATTAAATGATCTATCAGCTGATTGACAGCCTGATCAGGTCTTTTTAAAACATTGTGAAAGCAAAGATTTGAACTTGTGTTACAAAAATTCCAAGAGGCCGGACTCGGTGGCTCAGCCTGTAATCCCACTCTTTGGGAGGCCGAGGTGAGTGAATTACCTGAGCCCGCGGGTTTGAGACCCACCTGGGCAACTTGGAGAGACCTCATCTCTACAATAAATCAAAAGAAATTAGCCGGGCATGGTAGCACGTGCCTGTAGTTCCAGCTACTTGGAAGGCTGAGGCGGAAGTTTCACCAGAGCCCAGCAGGTCGAGGCTGCAGAGGCCAGGAGCATGCTACTGCACTCCAGTCTGGGCGACAGAGTGAGACTCCAACTCAAAAAAAAGCCCAAGAAACTCACTTCTTCAACAAATTGTCCCTTTGTATGGCACTCTAGAGGTTTTTCCACCCCAGAGTGATGCATCATAGTAAAATAAAGAATGGGATGGATGAGAAGTGTCTTTCTTTTATAAAGGAAAAGAGCAATTGTGAAAGAGGAGGTGAAAAAAGAGAAATCTATAAGCAAGAGGCCCATTCTCAAGCAGATCAGTCATAGGCAAGGATACAAACTGAAGCTAAAAATCTAGAAATGGATTTCTATTCAACAATCTGTGTGCCGACAAATGTTACAGAAAGTGTTTGTGTACCTCCTCTATGTACTTCCATTTGAAGACTACTGTACTGCACATTCTGGGCAAAAATGGGCAAGCAAAGCCTCAGAGGCCAGGCAATACAGGAAATGTAAGAAAAAGAATAGAACATTTTTATTTCAATGTAGCATGTGCAAGGTTGGGATAACTATGAAAGGAGAGAATATAAGCAAGGATGCACTGACATTTTGATGTGGAGAATAATGATAAGATCTTACTATATGCTAAGCACTTTACAAATTTTTTTGAGTCAGAGTCTCACTCTGACACCCAGGCTGGAGTGCAGTGGCATGCTCACGGCCACCGCAGCCTAGACCTGCTAGACTCAGATGATCCTTCCGTCTCAGCCTTCCAAGTAGCTGGAACTACAGATATGCAATACCATGCCTCGCTAATTTTTTTTCTTTTTATTGTAAAGAAGAGGTCTCGCCAAGTTGCCCAGGCTGGTCTTGAACACCTGGCCTCAGGCAATTCTCTCACCTCAGCTTCCCAAAATGCTGGGAATACAGGCATGAGTCACCGACATTATCTTATTTAACTGTCATCACCCCCAATGAGACAAGCACGCTGGAAAGCATCAGTGTGAGGAGAAGCCAATCATCATGCTCTCCTGAGTTTTTTCAACAATGCTTTTGGCAGCCACCTAAGAATCAGGTGAGGTGTGTGGTGGTAGACCAAGGAAGTAAGGTACTCAGAGAAGTTGGCCAGGAGATAGTTGAGATGACTGATATGGGAATGCAAATGAAGATGGGCAGGGAGGAGCGAGATGCTAACCGAGAGGGTGAAGAATGTGGTCAGTACACAAATCAAGGGAAGATATACTAGAAACTGGGAAGAGGTTTTATTTTAAAATGTCAAAATGTTTAATACGTCAACAATAATATCCTTTGAAACTATTAAAATTTAAGATGAAAAATGGAAACATTTTGGATGTCAACCTGCAAATGTGTAAAGGGATACAAAGCCTTCAAAATTACTTTATGGGGTATTTGAGCAAAAAAGTTTGCAGTGGCTTTGCTCTCTTTGACAGAGATCTAGTCTCATCCAAGAGCTTCAGGAGTGCACCCCGGTTCAGTTAACCCAGTCATATCAATGCCATCTCCCTCCCAAGTGGCTGGTTCAGGATTCAGGAATTCCTGGTTCAGAAATAGACATATACCTTCATCTGGGTCAGTATTTTAAGGAAGTTTGCTGGTAGCTTCTGGGAATAGTTTCCTGCCATCCCGAAAGAATGCACAAGAAGAGATTTCTATATTCTGTTGCCTGGGTCTGCTACCATCATCTCACTGTGGATGAAGGCTGGTAAAACTAAGAAAATCAAGGGGAAATGCTGCCAGGGCCACTGGATTCAGTCAGTCCTGAAACTACTCTACCTCTTGATTTCCAATTATCAGAAATTACATACATGTATATTTTTAAGACAGCTTGAGTTGGATTCTGTTACGTATAGACAAAAGTATCTTAACTGATGCAAATAATTTCCCTTAACTTCTGAAAGGCCAGGTCCTACTACATACTCAGTATTTAGTACAGGGAACACCTCTCCCCAAGTCTTCATTAACATCTGCAGGAAGGTCTCTCTTAGTCCTTTAAACCAAGACAGACCCTTTTCTCACCTCTTTGTATTATAGTTATCATATCACTTCCTGTGCTCCTCAAGGCCTACAGAATAAAAGCATCTTCATGTGGTTCATACTGTCCTCATAATGAGGCCCATTTCCCTTCCCCATCTTCTGTCCCACACTCTCCATTAACTGTTGGAAGCTGCAGTCAGACTCAGTGTCTTGCAGTTCGACATTTCCTGTTCTTTAAAGCTTCTTTGCCTCTGATAACAAGTTATTCCCACTACTTGGAATTCTTTTTTTTTTTTTTTGAGTAGTGGACTCACTCTGTTGCTCAGGCTGGTGTGCAGTGGCAAAATCACAGCTCACTGCAGCCTCGAACTCCTGGGCTCAGGTGATCCTTCCGCCTCAGACTCCAGAGCAACTCAGGCAATCCTCCCACCTCAGCCTCCCAGTAGCTGGGACTACAGGTGTGCACCATCACACCTGGCATTTTTTTGTAGAGATGAGGTCCCGCTATGTTGCCTAGGCTAGCCTCAAACTCCTGGGTTCAAGCAATCCTCCTGTCTCAGCCTCCCAAAGTGCTGGGATTACAGGTATGAGCCACCGTGCCTGGCCACTTCCTGGAATTTTATTGTCTACTTTGTGCACAACAAATATCTCCAAGACTCAGTTCAAGCATGTGCAGTCCTTCCCATGCTCCCATGCTTTTCTTTCCTGACCCCCAGGCCCTAAGACAGACAGATATTTCTTCATCTTGTAACAGTTACGCCACTGTATTGTTAGTTTATTTTCATATCTATTTTTTCCTCTACACCAGGAGCAAGAATGATATCCTATTCATCTTGGTATTTCCAGTGCCTAGCACATTTCAGGTACCTACTAAATATCTGTTAAGTGAATTTGTATAACTGTCTTCTCCATATAACAAATCTGCCATACTCTTGGGGGTTAACTGAATATGTCATCCACCTTTGTATCTAAAGAGCCTAAGACAGTATCAATAAGTATTTTTAAAAATAAGTTATTTCTCCCAACCTGGATGATATTTAATATAAGGAACTGTTGCCTCCTTTCCTCTGTCCTTCCTCTGGTACCCATGATCAAGAAGTCTCTATTAACTCTTCGGCTCAAACCTGTCTCCTTTCAAAACCAACCCTCATAAGTCAATATCCTGTCTGCCAGCACAGGGTACGATCTGTCACAGGGGCCTTAAGTTTTTGGCACTGCCCGCCATTTCGTCCCAGCGGTTTACATGGGGGTGGAATGTCTGAGAAAAATCACAGCTCCCATTAGTCCCCACAACAGGACGGGGGCGGGGGGGGGGGTGTCCCTGCTTCTCCCACCCCCACAGTTGACAGGCACAGAACCAGGTTGGGACGGTCCCTGGCAATGTCGAGGCCCACACTCTCTGTGTGCAGGTGGGGAAAGGAAGACCTGGGAAGGGGGGCGTAAAGTCCAAGGTCATTCAGCGAACCCGGGTCAGGAACGGGCCTAAACGTAGGGTTTCCGCTCGGCTCACGAACTAGGCAGTTGGGAGCCCAGCGCCCTCCTCCCCCAAGCCGTGACAGAACGAGGGCTCACCGCAGGCCGCTACCGCCCCACGCTCACTCCGCTCGGGCTCCCGGCGCTGCTTGGGCCGCTAGCACACAACCCGCAGCTGTTGTCTCGGTGTCACGGGCGACAGCATCGGCCACTTCCGGTCCCGGGCAGCACTCTAGCCAATCAGCGCGCGCCGCACTCTGTGGGATGAACAGGTGGTCTGCGCGCCAACGCCTCCTTGCCTTTTAGGGCTTTGCTTTTCGCCAGTTTTCGCCCTAACCCAAGCCCCACCTTGCCGCCGCCTGCCGACCCGGCTCGCTGGAATGGCCCTGTGCACTCGCTGATACCCACTTCAGCCCTAGGGTGATTGACGATCTGGGTCCTCCGGGTTTCCTAGAACGGCTCCAGGGACGAACTTCCGCTCCGTGACCGGCCGCTCTGCGGGCTGCTGTCGCTCCCCGAGCATTGCTCTGGGCTAAAAAACTTGGGAATCCGCTTGGTTTTCCTGCGGAAAAGCTTGCGCGATCCCTTTTGACGCTCTCAGCCCACATCTTTCTTACCCCGACACTCCCTTTCTCGAGTTCCGTAAGTCTCATAAACACAGGCCTCTGGATCCTAGGAACAGGCCGGTCATCGGTGGGGGCGAAGGGAGACCTGCTCTGAGTTCCGGGAGGGTTTGGGGGAGTGATGTTTGGGCTGAAATCTGAAGGTTGACTGGGGATTCCCTAGGTTAAAGAGAGGGAGAGAGCAGTTCGGGCAATGGGAACAGGATTCTAAAGCTAGCCTTCTTGGGTCCCTTGAGTAAGCTTGGCCCATTCTCGCCTCAGAACATTTGTACATGTTACTTCGTCTGCCCTTCCTCTGTAACTTTGCACAACAAACTTTGTTTTTAGATCTCAGTTCCAAGGTTATTATATTGGAGACTTCCCTCTTGTATATGTTGCCTCAAACTGCACCATCCTCCCCAAATATCAATCACAGGGAAGGACTGTGATTGGCCCTGTTTTGGCCAAGGTTTAAAACCAGTAGGGTGTGCCAGTGGTTCTCAAAGTGTGATCTCCGAACCAGCAGCATTACCATCACCTGGGAACCAGATAGAAATGAAAATTCTCAGGCCCCACCCACAGATCTACTGAATCAGAAACTCTGGGTTTGGAGCTCAGCCATCTGTGTTTTTCGTTTTGTTTTATTTTCTGAGTTGGTGTCTCACTCTGTCGCCCAGACTGGAGTGCAGTGGCCGCTCCCAGCCACTGCAGCCTCGACCTGTTGGGCTCCGGCGATCCTGCCGCCTCAGCCTTCCGAGTAGCCGGAATTTCAGGCGCGCGCTACCACGCCC